CATAATCTATAATCTGTTAAGTTATAATCTATAATCTATTTTAACAGTTAGACCAAACAGCACCAGTATATGGTGTTGTAATGAAAATGTTAAACAACTTGAGCTTTACATTATATATCATATTATTGTTAAAATTTGGTACAATAAACACAAAATTTACATTTTAATAGTGTGCTATTTATCGTGCCAAATTTAACATGATATCATATATTGTGCTAAATAAAAACATCATGTCAAATTTAAACATGATTAATGTTTGATCATTGACTTTTAAGATTTTATAGTATTGTCTCCAAAAAGTGTCATGCCATGTATTTTTTTTATACAAATTAATTAATACAAAAAATAAAATTAATATTTTTTAAAAAATAGTAACCATCTTATTAAAATATTTTTAATTCAAACTCAGATTTTTATGTTCATTTTTCTCTGATTAATTTAATTCAAACTCTAATTTAAATAATTTTATGCCAAATAATCGGCACATTTAACAAACTCTCATTACTATTTTTTTTTCTCTCTCTCATTCTCCATTATGCATTTTAATTAACTTTTAAGGTGAGTTTGAATTAAATTAATAAATTGAAATTTTTATAAATATTAATAATTAGAGTATAATTATTTTAATTGAAAGTTTTTTTTTTTTTTTTTGGGGGAATTAGAGTATAATTATTTTAATTGAAAGTTAAACTTAAAACATTGTGAATACACACACATATATATATATTATTAATTAGGTACACACAATTCTATCGTACACACTATAGTACCTAATTCAACTATATGATATTAACAGGATTAAAATACAATGATATGCTGGTAGTCTTCAATTTTGTTTTAAAAAATACATATATTTTGTAAAAATAAAAATAAAAGAAAAATATTGATGTCAACCCTTTATTTATTTATTTATTTTTCAATATCTTCTCTCTTCTCTTAACACCCCTCTCTCTCTCCACATTCTTATTTTACTCTTTTCAATTAATTTATATTTTAATATCTGATTAATCTTTTTCACGATTAGCCCACTCGCTAACAACTCTAAGATTGTATTTGGATCATGGTACATCCAAAATCAAAATACTACCTAATATAAGATGAAAAAACATAAAAATTGTTTGCTCTCAACATGTGAGCCAAACAACTGCAATACCTTATCCAATAGAGGGCTCCTATAGTTGTACCTAGGGGTGTGCATAATACCGCCGAAACCGCTGAAACCGCCAAAACCGCACCGAACCGCACCGCCAAGGCAAATTCGTTATTATTTGTCAATCGAACCGCCGATTTTTGGTAAGAAAAATGGCAAATTCTAGTGACACTTTTATCAATCCGCCGGTTTCTATTTTTCTTCCAAACCGCACCGACCCGCACCGCTATTAAATCATGTTTTATAAGATTCTAAAAATTTCAATTAAATTTCACCGTAGGCCCTAAAAATTATGCCAACCACAATGGCGTAGTCAATTTCGGGTTCCGTGGCCGATAAGGCCCTCAATTAAATTTCCAAAACAGACTACTCAAACAGATATTCCTACGATGAACAGATAAAATTTCAAACCACATATTTTCACATAGTGGAACACAAAATCATATCAAAATACATAATCACATCATGTTAAGGACTAATTAACATACTTACGGAACAGGGGTGTCAGAGTTAATTTGTTAGTTTAGTATATGGTGTTGTAATAGAGATGTTAAACAACTTGAGCTGTACATTATATATCATATTATTGTTAAAATTTGGTACAATAAACACAAAATTTACATTTCAATAGTGTGCTATTTATCGTGCCAAATTAACATGATATCATATATTGTGCTAAATAAAAACATCATGTCAAATTTAAACATGATTAATGTTTGATCATTGACTTTTAAGATTTTATAGTATTGCCTCCAAAAAGTGTCATGCCATGTATTTTTTTTATACAAATTAATTAATACAAAAAATAAAATTAATATTTTTTAAAAAATAGTAACCATCTTATTAAAATATTTTTAATTCAAACTCAGATTATTATGTTCATTTTTTTCTGATTAATTTAATTCAAACTCTAATTTAAATAATTTTATGCCAAATAATCGGCACGTTTAACAAACTCTGATTACTATTTTTTTTTCTCTCTCTCATTCTCCGTTATGCATTTTAATTAACTTTTAAGGTGAGTTTGAACTAAATTAATGAATTGAAATTTTTATAAATATTAATAATTAGAGTATAATTATTTTAATTGAAAGTTAAACTTAAAACATTGTGAATACACACACATATATATATATTATTAATTAGGTACACACAATTCTATCGTACACACTATAGTACCTAATTCAACTATATGATATTAACAGGATTAAAATACAACGATATGCTGGTAGTCTTCAATTTTGTTTTAAAAAATATATATATTTTGTAAAAATAAAAATAAAAGAAAAATATTGATGTCAACCCTTTGTTTATTTATTTATTTTTCAATAGCTTCTCTCTTCTCATAACACCCCTCTCTCTCTCCACATTCTTATTTTACTCTTTTCAATTAATTTATATTTTAATACCTGATTAATTTTTTCCCGATTAGCCCACTCGCTAACAACTCTAAGATTGTATTTGGATCATGGTACATCCAAAATCAAAATACTACCTAATATAAGATGAAAAATTACATGTGAGCCAAACAACTGCAATACCTTATCCAATAGAGGGCTCCTATAGTTGTACCTTTAGTTTGCAAACCAGCAAGTGATAGATATATAAAAGGAAATAATAGTGAGACATGTGGGTCTCACATGCTCAATCTTATTATTTTAATTCTTTATCCCTTGAACAAACTAGCACTAAAGCTATTTATGTTTTTTTAAAGCTAAAATTAATGCTTTTACATTCACCAAGTATCTATAATTTATTGCACACAAATATTTTTCCAAATAATTTGAGTATCAAATTATCTCATACCATATCATGCTTTACTAGTGCAACCATGAAATGTTAGGAATCAACTCAATTCTTCAACGACATTTTATTTCTTTAGCATTTCAATTAATGCTTTATTTGTTTGAGCAAAAAAAAATAATTTTATAAAATATTTTTTTTTATGTTTGATTGTAACCTTGACACTAATGTATCTAGTAATTGTATTACTGGATGGAGGTGATGGTGTGGCAGCAGTGGTGGGATAGCGGTGGAAGGATGTACTTAGGTTTAGTTAATAATTATCTTCAAATCATACATATTTCTGCCTTATTTTTTTTTTTGAACTTTTAAGCTATCCTTACTTAATTCGATTTTGTTCACAGACTCTCTTTATTTTTTTTATGAACGTTTAAGCGATTACTATTAAATTCAATTTTGTTCACATTTTCTGAGTGTATACAATACACATATTTTGGTTGGTTTAAAAAAGTGAAACTTATCATTTTAGGTGGAGTCATTACACTCGGGTATAGAGTTCACATATTAAGACAAACCATATTTTGTGTATTATTTACACACTAAAAAGGTGTGTGAACAAATTCTTACTTGTCATTCCCTCCATATTTTTGAAAAAATTTAAGAAGCCACCTATATGTATGAAACATGGGCCTTAAAGTATGAAGTTAAAAATTTTGGACTAAAGAAAATAGTTTCTCATACACAGTATCAACAAAGATTCCACAAATTCCTTAATGGAAGATATTTCGTGGAATTTTAATTCGATTTTGTCATAAATGTCTTTAACAACATGAAATATCATTATAGATAATTCATGGTATAGTTGTTATCGTTTATAATTCAACCTAGATACAAGAATCCATAGCTTAATTATTTATGTTTTCATATTATTTTTTATTTTTTATATTAATAGAAATTTTATTCATATTTAAAAAATAAAATAAAATTTGTTAGTATATATATTTACTCAATTATGCCAAAATCTTGAGCCTGTCGCTAATGATGATGGTGGACTATGACAGTGTGATGCATTTTTAAGATTTTAATTCAGAAAATATATTTTTTTTAAGGTAAAAATATTTTTTGTCAAAATAAATTTATTTTTCCTTCATTATAATAAACGTTTTTCTGTAATTTTATTCTTTTTAATATCAAACATCAATAAATACATATATATATATATATATATATTAATATGATATATAAACTATATATATATATATATATATAAAATTCAAACAAACCGATTTTTGGCCAAACATGGTTATGACATAAATAACAAACTGTTAAAAGAGTGGTGATTTAGAGTACTAAATTTGGAGCTCTAAAAACATTACTAATGAGGTGGCAATGTAAAGAAAAAAAAAATAAAACAAAACAAAGGCCAAACTATCACATCAGTGATGGGATCCACATGATGCCACATCATTAGTGATGCATTAGTGGTGCTAAATTAATGGTATGAAGCATTTTTCATGTTACAAATACATAAATAAATAAAAATAATTAAAAATGCAATTGAGGTTTCTATTTCTCAATTAAACTACGGTAGTATTATAGTACACACTTTTTCTGAAAAATACGTACTATATGCACCTTATAATTAAAGAATAAAATATTATAATTTTATATTTTTTGAGTTATAATTAATTTTCTTGTTATAAATAAATATATTTTGAGATATAGATAGTATCACAATTAAAAAAATATTATAGTTAAAAAAATAACATAATTAAAAATATATACAATAAACTCTTTTTAAACATGTGCCTATAACCTAAGAATTTTGATACAGATTCGTACAAAACAGAATTCCCACGACCAATACACTAGTATGAGAGATGAAAAAAATAAAAAAAATAAAATACATGCATGTAATCCACATCAATCAGGAGTAATCGACGTCAACCATTTTTTAGAATCTAAAGTATTAATTTTTTATAATCGCTCATATTCATATTCATATCTATATCAATACATCAAATAATACCCACCTTTTTTTTTTATTTTTTTATATTTACATCGATGTTCTGTGGCCGTTGGGTGATCTTCATAGTGCTATTTCAAACGGCCGCAACAGCCATCCCAGCATATATTCCCTCCCTCCTCCTCCAGAGAGAAGAAGAAATCCAACAACATATACATATAGAGAGAGAAAATCTCTGTATATATATACATGTAGAGAGAGAGAGAGAGGCCTCTCACGGCGTTGGTGTCGTAGCAGATCTTGAATCCCTACCCCTTCTCTACGAATAAAATCGCACATTCTCTTCAAGAACCTGTTCTGCTATTTCAAGAACTAGTTCGGGATCGACGAGACAGCGTTCGTTTGATCCATTTTTTTTTTCTGTCGATACATTTGGTTCGAAGAAGCATAATAATTCCTCGTTCTGAATCTCTGGTATTTTGAATCAGTTATTGCTGTTTTGTGATCAAATCACTACATTTTCGAGAGAGAGAGAGAGAGCTTGGTGAGCTGTGTAGTAGGGGAAATTGGAAGTGTGTTGTCGTTTGCTCTGTTTTTTTGTGTTAAAATTTGAAGGAGTTGTTCAATTGGAATGGCGTTTTAGTTGATTTTGAAGGCCGACATGGATGATCGAGGAGGTTCATTTGTAGCTGTTAGGAGAATTTCGCAAGGCAACACCTGCCATTCAACTTCTGGTATATTCTGTGAACTAGTTATTATTATACCTATAAAACACTAATTTTTGGCACCTCTCTGTCTCTATTCTCTCTCGCTTTCTCTCTCTCTCTCTCTCTCTCTCTCAGGAATGACTTATACAAGTTCGGATCTGTCGATTGAAATTAGTTCATATAAGATTCATGCCTACTTGCATTGATATTTGTGGTGAGTGAGCGAGCTGCTTGCAGCTATTAATGTCTCCTTGAATTTTGTCTCAATTTAAAAAAATAAAAAATAAAAAATCTTTCATATATGATATGAGTGTATTTAACACAAGTATGCAAACAACTCAACGCTTTTGTTTTGATTTTTGGGAAATTTAGACAATGAGGGGACTCGGCAGTACATTGAACTGATTTTTGTTGTTAGTTGAGCAGATCCTGTGAGACTAATGAGTTGTCAAGTTTGCTGTCATTATTTTATTATGATTATTGTTATATATATATGTTTTGTGAGGTATTATTATCAAGCAAAATCGTGTATTTTGGGTTAAACTGGTGATGTTCCAGGGAGTTCATGTTTACGTTGGAAGACATGTTGGTTACACATTTCATGATACATGATAGCCAGTGCTTGAATAGTTGTCAAATTGTGATACAAATCATGTATAGTTTTTTTTTAATTGCGTAGTGTATAATTGTGTTGTAAGATATGTATGGTGAATCGTAAGATATTGACAACACTCATATTAGGTGAATTTTGATTCACACAAACACCCCCCCCCACCCGAATCAATTTCTAATTAAATTTCACTGTAGGCTCTAAAAATTATGCCAACCACGGCCATCCTTTTCTTTAATTTTCAATTATTAGTGTGGATCCCTCTAAGCATGGACACTTCTACGAAGGTGGTATATGTATCCATGTCGTGTCCGTGTCAAACAACGACATCCGTTGGACACTTCCCAACACTTGTCAAAACGTGTCCTATCTTTTAAAATGCTTTTTTTGATCAGGACACTCTTCAAACACTCATGTCTATTGCTTAAATGCACATGTCCACCGATTAGACACACATGAAGCTAATTATAAGTTTGAACTAAAAAACTTGAGATACAATAATTAAAAAAAAATGTAAATTTATAAAATAAGTGTTATATTACATTTTTTTTTTATTATCTTTGAATGATATATTCATATATATAATATATAATAAATGTATAAAATTATATATTTCGTACGTGTCCCCTACATATCTTGTCTTGTATTTTTTGAAAATCAATGTGTCGGCGTATCCGTATTGTGTCACGTGTTCATGTCTATGTTCGTGCTTCTTAGGTTATACTTCATGTTCCTTGGTGCCATTTGCCCACTTTAATTTCATCAATTTTGTAACCATTCATTCTGTTCTATTAGTTATTCATTTTTTCCCGAATCTCATGTGTTTGTTCTGCAACGTTGAAGCTCAAATTCATCTAGCTTCCTCCATTATTTTTGTAAAACGGGCCAGCAAAAATGGCTACATGAATGATTTGCACTAGATAGAAGATGAATTTATAGCAAATAGTGTCTCATTTGGACTTTGTTCTCTTTTTTTGTCTTTGGACTTTGGTCTCTCTTTCTCCTTTTTGTTGGTATGATTTGGGTGGTAGAACAAAATTTCATTTAGTTCGTACTGTTTTTATTTCTCTCTTTCAGTTACATTGTTTACTTCGTAATAATATTCAACGTGTTACAGTTAGTAATGAGTCAAAGCATATTAGTATATTACTCATCAGTCACCTCTTTAGGGGAGATGATGTGGTAACAGTATATGAGTTTGTTATTGAATAACAAAGTAACTGATTAGTGGATTATATGTTCTGTATTCTCAGTTATCAGTTTATCTAATAGAGCTGATTTTAGTTTTGATATCTGTTTAACTTTTCCCCTGGAGTTAATTTTGAGCATACTTTATGAACTTTATGTAGAGTTGTTTAGACTTGTATATACAATTTACCTTAAGATTTGAACATGAAGCATATGTGCTCAAAAAGACGGAACCATGAGCTTATCTGTAAAAAGGTCAATTGGTTGATATGTAACATGTCATGATATGTTGTTATTTCACTTGTTTGAAGACATATGACTCTGTTCTGTTGCAGCTGAGGTTGTGGCAGGATCAGCAGCATGGCTTGGCAGAGGTCTTTCTTGTGTTTGTGTCCAAAGGAAAGAGAGTGATGCTCGCCCATCATTTGATTTGACTCCTGCCCAGGTAACAAACATTCTAATGATGCAATTGTGTGATGTTCATTCTCTTTATTTCTCTCCATGATACTATATGAATTGGCCCTATTATCCATATTTTATTCATGATATTAGGTATTGGCCTGATATCCAAGTTATTTTGAATTAAGTTGAAGCAGAAACCATAGCAAGAATGATTTGCATACCTTGATATTGCCTTTTAGACCTGTGTGATTAGCAATTTTTTATTAAATAAAATGAAATCTAATGAAATAACATTTAATTTAATTTTTTTTAATGGATAATGACATGCCATCTGTTGGCAGGCAGTAGATGTTGAATGACAATGATTTATCCAAAATTGATTTCACTTATCAAAAAATAAGCATCCAAAATTATTTTTGAGGTGATTTTTTTATGACATTATTAGTACTTCAATTTGTTTCCTATTTCAGCATATCATCCTGCATCAATCATTTTTGAATTCTTTCTTTGGAATTTTAAGGAGATAACTGTGTGTTTTTCTTTATTTGTTAGTTTTGCACCGTTTTCTTGTAGATGAGTACACATTTGACAAATGGTTAAACTCTATAACATGAGACTGTATGATATGATAAAGGGGTTTCCATGAGAGGTTTGTGTTTGTCAATGTGAGAACTCGGGCATCTAAAATGGCTTACTTGTATGATTCCCATCTTCTGAATCATTGTTTTGGCTTTGTTACCATAGTTGTTTAGAGTACTAACCTCTTATAAATGTGTCACTGGAAATTTTGTTTTTAAACTAGACTACTTTCTATGTCATTTTGTAGTCTTATTTTATTTCAATTTTCAGTAGGATTTCCCATCGTTCTTCTTGACATCCCTTATTTCCTACTTCAGCATTTACTTACAAAATGAACGTAAAAAAAAAAAAAAGAATTGTTTGAACAGCTGCTGAATGCTACACAAAAATTTGGAAGGAGTTTCACTAGTTTTCAATAAGATGATGTCATGAACTTGTATAACCCATTTATGCAAGTGCAACTCATACCATCATACAAGCTCAAGAAATTGAATTGAATAATTGAAAGGCATGCACCGGCCAGTGACTGAAAAGTGAATAGACATTATAGATCCAAAAACCAATTACTAACAGCAGATGTTAAAGTTCTAATAAGCTTTTGAAGTTAAGAACAAAATGGATTATCATCGATAAGCAAATAACAAAGTTACTACAATTAATCCAAATTGGATGACAGATGTAGACACAAATTTAATCTGCAAGATCATTATAGATGTAATATAAATTTGAATTTAGTAACTGCAACATTGTCTAGCCTATTATCCTTTTTCCCTTCAAAATTCATATTCAAAAGTTGTCCACATTTGTGTAATTATCAAATAATAAAAAATTCTAAGACTCTATTGGATTAGGACTTAAGAAGCATGGACATGGACACGCGACGCAACACGGATACAACATGAACACGCTGACATGCTAATTTTCAAAAAATGCAGGACACGACATGTGGGGGACACGCATGAAATATATAATTTTATATATTTATTATATATTATATATATATGAATATATCATTCAAAGATAATAAAAAATATAATATGACAATAATTCTTATTAATTTATATGGTTTTTGTTTTATTATTGTATCTTAAGTTGTTTTGTTCAAACTTATAAGTAGTTTCACCTGTGTCTAATTGTGCGTTTAAGCGATAGATATGTGTGTCGTTCAAGTGTCCAGAGAGTGTTTGGGTCTTTAAAAAAAAATTAAAAAATAGGACATGTTTTGAAGAGTGTCGGACATGTGTTAGGAAGGTGTCCAAAGAGTGTTAGTGTCTAACATGAACATGATATGCATACACCACATTCTTGAAAGTGTCCATGCTTCTTAGACCATGACCAATTAGAATTGCTAAAAATAGGGGCATGTGTTGATGATCCTTGCTGGGTATGCTCAAAATATACATACAGAAACAACTAGAGCAAGTAAAAACCTTGTGCCTGAATGAGTATTTTACGATACTTATGCCTTGCTCGTTTTTATTATATTTTTTCCCGACCTTTTTATGGGTTTGATTTAATGATTAAAAAATCCTTATTATTTTTAACTTTGGTGCTTCAGGAGGAATGCTTACAAAGGTTACAGAACCGTATAGATGTTTCTTATGATAGTTCAATCCCAGAACACCAGGTGCTTCTTTGGCTCAAAATTCAGTGAAATGTTCAGAAATGCTATAATTTGTTGAGTTAAACGCATGTTTTCAAGTTTTTTTTTTTTTTTTCAATTGTTATGGGCTATTAACTTGTTCAATTAATGCATTGAATTCATTTATTTATATTGAAACTCAAAGAATGAATTCATTCTTTACTATTGTTGTGCTGTTGTAGGAAGCCTTGAGGGCTTTGTGGAATGCTTCCTTTCCGGAAGATGAGTTTTGTGGTTTAGTATCTGAACAGTGGAAAGAAATGGGTTGGCAAGGAAAAGATCCGTCCACAGACTTTAGGTACAACAGTATTTCCATTGTTTTTCCTCTGGATCTTTTTTAAGCTTGTGGTCTTATGTACTTTTGCTTTATTTATTTTTGATACGCAGAATCTCTCTCTCTCTCTCTCTCTCTTTTTAACATTTGGATTTTTCCTGCAGGGGTGGTGGTTTTATATCACTGGAGAACTTGTTATATTTTGCTAGGAATTTTCCGGTACGACTAATTCTCCATTATGTGATCTCCATCGCTCCCTCCCTCCCTCACTCTATATCTGCTTCTCTAGATTTTGTCTTGGTGGATTACCAAACCTCTTGTGTGATAATTTTGCATAAGCTAGTCTGGCCCAATCTGAAATTCCCATTTCTTCCTTTTTCTGTTGCATGTTTTGCATATGAGCTAATACATTCATGACAACTGTTCTATTCGTAAGTAAATAAGATATTCATGACAACTGTTGTATTTTTAAATAAATTAAAAGTGATTCATGTGGGAATTAAATTATTGAATCCAAATCCAACATTATGGGTTCATATGAGGATAGGGCTAAGACTTGACAAACCTAATTTGGATTGGAAATGTGTGGCTAGGTTGGTTCACTAGGGTCAAACCATTGGTCTCTCTTCCTATGAAATTAGGATTGAAATTCTGAAGTTATCTACACATTTTGGGGATTGGGAGATAGAACATACATGAATACTTATTTGTGTCTTCTATATCTATATGATATTTGTAAATGATTTAACTGAAAAAGGAAGTTGGAGATTTGAATTTTGAACTTTGATTTGAGTCTAGAAATGAATTATATTCTAAATATGTTAAATTGAATAAGTAATGTTGCAATAATGTTTTTATGACAAAAATATACAGTTTTCATTGTTCAGAAAATAATTTATATATTGGTCAACATGCTTGCATGATGTGCATTGCTACTGTGTAGAATCAATTGTACAATGAATTGAACTGTCAGGAAGAAGCAGACATTTTATTTGAAGAGACTTTCGTGTATTAAAAATATTGTGAAGAAACTTTGATAACTAGAGGTGTGCTCCTTTCTGTGTTGGGCCCAAGTGTCCCATGAAGCATCTTGCTTTCCATTGGCTGTTGCTTCCTTTGTGTAATTCATTTTGATACTGAAAGTTACAGGCATATGCTCACTGAGCATCTATGGGAGATGTATCAGTCACATTCATTTTGCACGCACTGGAGCATGTTTTTAGAATTTTAACTGCTTGAGAATCAGCTGAAATTTTCTTCATCAGGCATTGCATATATGGCTCACTTATATAACAACTCATTTGAGCCATATCAGACTCCATTTATGGGAGTATGTGTTTTGTTTTAAACAAGCATAACATTTTTTCAGACTCCATTTTATTTTTTTTTTTGTTTTTATCTCGATTATGGTGCAATTCATCCATGTAAAAATGGTCAAATATTTTCTGCAGAAATCCTTCCAGGATCTTCTTCGAAAGCAGGAAGGTGATCGTTCCATATGGGAATATCCTTTTGCTGTTGCTGGTGTGAACATCACGTTCATGCTTATTCAGATGCTTGATCTTGAAGCAGGTCTTTCTTATTTTCTCATTTATAACATGTCAATCTTCAACTGGACAACAGAAGACTTTCAAAACTAATAACAATCTGAATGGAACTTATTTTTTTTGTTTCCTTGTTTTCCGATTCTTTGTGAAACCAATGTCAATTCCTGTTATGCATCCTTGCTTCTCATTGTTGTATTTTGGTATTGGTTGAGAAAGCAGCCAGTTCAAACCCCCAGGGAGAACAAACCATTTTTTGTGCTATAAATTTAGTTGAAAGTTGATTGTTCTATACTTGGTAGAAATAGTTTATTCTATAATTTTGTTGCATTTGTGTAAGTATTTTTGTTTTTGGAGGCAACTTTGAACTAAAAACTATCTCTGGATTTTGAGAAGCAAGACTCATTTTTCGTATATTATTTGATCATCATGATGATGGCCACATATAGAATAATGCACACCACAAGAAGTAAACAAAAAGACCACTCACCCAAGAGAAACTATAAGTGTCATGTCCAGATTATGGTCTCTGGCCTGTCCATATAAAACTTCTTTGTATGGAAAGAGCATGAAATTTTGGATGAAAATGTAAGATAAATGAATCGCAAGAATGCAGGGGATGGAGCTTTTTGCGTAGTTCATATTTTTGCATGCCTTCTAATGCATCTTAATTGGAATCTGATTCTAGAAAATATTTGATTTTGATTTTATTTGATGCAATTCATCTGCTAACTCTATGTTTCAACACTGTAGTAAAGCCACGAAGAATGGTCGGAGCAAGTTTCTTGAAGTTTCTTTCAGGTAAGGCCATGTCTTGAGACCCCAATCGTATCTTTATTGATTAACGTTCAGACATTTCTATCAATATGGAGTTGCTCATCAAAGAGAGAATAAATTTGTGGCCTCTGGATTTTTTTTGGGCTGAATGGATTTTGTTACAGGAGCTAACGACACCCTTTCCATTCAGTTTTGTTTATTGATCATCTGTTTTTCAAGTGTATTTGGTTCTAATTAAAAAATTTCTTTTCTTTTTCTTTTTTTGTCAGAAAACGAATCAGCATTTGACCTTCTCTACTGTATCACGTTCAAGCTGATGGATCATCAATGGCTTTCCATGCATGCATCATACATGGACTTCAATGTATGAGTTCATTGATTACAAATATATGATTTCTTCATTGAGTCTCTGTGTTCATGATGTGTTTTAGAATACATGCTTTAAAAAAACAAATTTTAGGAAGCCATGTTACCTACTGGTCCTCCCATCACCAAAATTTGCCCCTGCATTTTTTTTCATATGACCTTTTGCACTATTCTGTGGTGTGCTGGTTTTTATTTTGTGCAGTAAGCTTGGGCCTGTGCGATATACAAATGCTAAAACATTGTGTGTCTAAATTTGATGTTAGAACCATTGTTGAGATCATGTTACATATTGCAATTACTTGTTCTATATGCTTTTTCCTGCATTTTGCTAAAGATTTAACCCACTAGTGCTATTGCATCTACAGAAAAGCAAAATGAATTTTATTGGGTTTAAAGAACATATTTATCGGAACGTGTCTGATTTTGTTTATGACGAATCTTCATAGTGACGTTACTTACTACTAGGTTTTGAAATGTCCCAGAGTACACCTTGAGCCCCATGCCAAACTTGTGTTTCCATGATTTTTCCATTAACTTTCAAAGTGAAATTTCCTACTATTATTCTCTGCCCTTGCATATATTTTTTTTTTTTCCCAATATGATTTCCATTATCTCATTTTTCTTTTGGTTGCAGTCGGTGATGAAAGCTACTCGCCGTCAGCTGGAAAATGAGCTTCTGCAAGAGGACATAACACGGCTTGAAGACTTACCCTCGTACAGCCTTCTCACACGATAGTTTAGTACTTTTGTGAGATTCAGAGCAAAGATGACTTTTGTAAGAAACTTCCCCGCCATCATCTGATGCATTTGCTTCCTTTTGTCTCTTCTCTCGTGGTATTCTCGACTACTTGGTTTTTTGTTCATGATATTGTGCTTTCCAAGATAATCTTGAAGCGATGTTATATCTTCTGATTTGATTTCTCAAAAGAAAAAAGGAGGGGTTGTGTTTGTGTGATTAGGTTACAGGTTTTTGAAGAAGAAGATGCCCTATATAAGCCTTTTGTGTTGCACTTTCTGAATTGACCATGTGAGAGTTTATTATTCAATGAAAATATCACGTGTCAGTTACACTGAATTTTTACTTGAGGACCTATTCGTTCAGGCACTGGGGAAACGCTTTCCTCTTAGACTCTAAATTGGCAATTATTTCGAGTCTTATCTTAATATTCTTGAAAATAGTTTTCAAGATTGTTGAAGGATGGGGCAAGAATATTATCAGCGTCACTTAGACAATCTGGCCTAATGCCGTGTTTGATTGCTGGTTTGAGAAGAGTTATGAAGCATAGATATTTTACAAACATGCTGTACTTACAACGAGTATGGATACTTTGTATGGTACTTCTGTATATATATATTGAGTACACAAAACACATACTCAACTCAAAGATATTATTTCAAATTAAAAATAAATATTTTTTTACAAATGTATCCAATCATGGCAATACCTTTTTCTAAATTTTATTGTATTGACATATACCCATGCTGTACTAACACCAATACATGTACTTTGTAGGAGAAATTATGGTTTGAGAATAGGAATTGAATTAGTAACGTTCTCAGATCAATCATGTTTCGTTGTGAACTACTTGGGACTAAAAGTCCTAAAGGGTAGTGAACTTGCTAATCCTGTCACATGAAATTGTATGATAAAAAAAAACTAATGTTTCTGTTTTACAAAAATGCAATTCATATCACCATTAAAGACAAACAAATTCAATTAATTTTATATTTTCAACTTAATATAATCACACTAGTAAAACAATCTAATTTAGATACTATTATTAATCTCATTACTCAATCTTAGCCCGTACTCATAATTCAAATCAGGCTAATCCACACATCAAACATGGCCTGAGAAGCGTTTTGCCTTCAAAATAGTGAAAAGTAACCAGAAACAATTGCACAAATACTAATATCAACCATACAAGTTCAGGTTCTAGGAAAACAATCTCACAATCAAAGGTTTTGAAAGTCCCAAACGCAGATTAACAGTAACAAACAGGCTAGACCAAACAAGCTAGAGATGAGAAGTTATAGGTTCAACTCGGAAGAAACTTCATTCATAGATCCAATGGTGAAGGCTGCTCTGCCATTCTGCAATGCCTTCTGGGAACCACAGTGCAATCTCTTTCCTCGCACTCTCAATTGAATCGCTCCCATGAATGACATTCCTGCAAGCCAAAAGTGATGTTTCCACGTAAGATTCCCAGTACCAAAATGGTACAAATAGAATTGAGCTAAAATTATAATATAATATAGAGAACTTTCAAGCAGATCACCCTATTCTAGTACTCCAAAAAATGCAGTACCATTCTTAAAATACAGACCAGATCATTTTCCCAGACAGTATAGTGCCCCATCAGTATGGCCCTGTTTTTGAGGAGCCCATTGAAAAGGGTTTTCTTTCAAATGTTTATGTAAAGTTAAATTCTCAAGTGTACAATCAAACTAATAGTTACTATCACAAAATTTTAATATCTAAAATTGATCAATTGAGCAACTAAAGGGGTTAGGGTATGTTCAAGGGTTATCCTGCAAAAGTACCTAAAGCTATTGACCTCAGCATCATTGTTTTTGGTTAAGTACATTGACTTCAGCCATAAATGAACATAACTACCAACAAAGTTAAAAATTTCATGAACTAGATATCAACATCGTTTTGCCCCTACTTTGTGTCACTTGGTACCATTGCTAATTTTGACACCAAGCACCTTTTAATGATTGCCAAGACTTGAGATATCTTTAGAAAAAAATGAGCAAAACCGAACATTAGGCATTTAAGGAGCAATAACCTCCTAAAAAAGAGAACAATTTCACATCTTAATGTATTAGTTCCCACTACGACTTCAATTGCTAGTGAAACAGGAGCATGATACACCGACTGTCAAAGTTTAGTACATGTTGATTTTGTGGCATGGTTTGATTGGTCCAAAGGGGTGTTATTTGTCGCAATGGTAAAAACAAATGTATGGAAAGGATGTACAGGTTAGTTTGTATCTAATCCTATTCCTCCAAATGCCGTGCGTGTGTTAACCTTTGTTGCAAAACCACACTAACCATGTACATAACAACAACATTTGAGACATTCTTATCTGCATTATATGGTTAGCACTATATTACTACCACCGGTATGATAACAGGATAAAGTTGTGAAAATGAACAAACTGATCAGTAACCATCTGGCCCATGCTCAACCATAACAAAGACAACTTTCATAATTCTATGAAATACTAGATGGGGTAATAGCAAGTTACCTGCCAATATCAATTGCAAAATCTCCACGGATGGTTCCAGGAGCAGAGTCAGAGGGGTTTGTGGCTCCAATAATCTTACGACCTGTTGTCACAACATTCTTACCATCCCAAACCATTGCAACAACAGGACCAGATATGATGTACTCAACCAGTCCATGGAAGAAGGGTTTTGCAGACAGATCCGCATAGTGCTTTTCGGCAAAAGCACGTTCCACAGACACGAGCTTCAAACCTAAATCCAAAACCAAATACCAAATGACACCAACAATATAAAAAAATAAGATTATTGTCAAATAATGTCACCACTCATTGACATCAAAACAAAGGATTGAGGAAAAACAATTCATGGGTCACATTTAGCAACCAGACAGACAAAATTTGACCATCTTCTCATTTAGCAAACAGACAGACAAAATTTAAAATAGAACATGAAAAAATAATCTTTTAAATTTTTTGGCTAAACAGTAAAAATCAATAAGAATGGATATGGATAAAAAAAAACTACCTTTCAAAGAGAAACCTTTCTTCTCAAATCTGCTAATAATCTCACCAACCTGAACACATATTAACATAATGATACAATCAAATTTAGTAAATGAAAAATTTACATCAGAATTCATAAATCTAGGCTACAACCGATAAAGATCCATGGAAAGCGTAAAAAAAATAAAAAAAAAGTTGCTGAGAAAACAAAGGGAAGAGGAAAAAAAATTGAATTTTTATTTCTCATATCAGAGAACTTATAATTTTGATTTCCAAAAAAGAACAAAAAACCCAATTCAATTAAGCAAAATACAATTTCACCGGATTCTCTAATCAATGAAAAATCAAAAAACTTTTTTCTAATCTTCAGCTACATTTTCTCAGCTACCAAGTACCAAAATTGCACATGGAAAACTTGAAAGCCAGAAAGAGATGCGATTTCAAGAGGTTAAACAAGCAATAAGGTATCAAATTCTCTTATTTTTCTCAGCATCCAAACATTACAACCAAAACCTTTTATCATGAATTCAAGTAAAATTTAAATAGTTGTTGGGTTCTTCATATAGAGTTATAGACAAAGATCGATCCTCTAATAGACAAAAAAAATAAAATAAAAGTGTGAGGACTCTCTCACCAGGCCTCTTTGGACACCATCAGGTTTGATCATGATGAATGTCTGCTCCATCTTTGTCCTCTGAATGTACTCTCTCTCTCTCTCTGTGAAGTAGAAAGCAGTGATGAGTACCAACGACAAGGCAAGCGAGACGAAGTTGTTTATATATGGTGTGTGGCTCCGAATCAAAACCCTAATGTTAATGATAGGAGGAATACGCGTCGCCCTTTTTTTTCTTTTGGAAAGAAATATGTCCAGAAAAAAAAAAAATGGTGAATGTGGAGCTTGTTTTCTAATTCAGTGAAAAATATTTACTGTGTTTGTTTTGAGTTTTTTGAATTAAATTTTTTGAAAATTGATTTTTTTAGTTTTTGTATTTTTTTGTTTTTAGTGAATATTTTTTAAATTTTAAACATTTTTTTTACTTTTTTAGATGGACCTTACTTAGATGTATCTAAAAAGTAAAAAAATTGTAAAAAAATATTTTAAAAAATTAATAAATACATAAAAATATAAAAAATGTACTGAATTATTGCATTTTTTTTTATATTTTTGGTATTTAGTGAATTTTTAAAAGATTTTTTTTTATAATTTTTTTACTTTTTAAGTGTATTTATGTGAAGTGTGTGTAAAAAGTAAAAAAATTACTTATAATATTAAAAAAATTCAATAAAAATAAAAAAACACGAAAAATAAGAAAGTAGAATTTTCTGAAAAGTGTTTTGGAAAACTAATATCAATTTTTTTTAAAAAAATATATATATATATATATATAAAATTATTATTTAGAATTTTCTTGAGACTATGAAATATAGGTACTTCAACAAACATTCCGTACTTGTACTGAGTACTTATGGTATTTCTATATATATATTGGGTATACAAAACATGTACTCAAATTTTTTCTTCTTCATTTTTAGTGTATCCAAACATGCCTAATATATACCTAAGCTGTGCCGTACCTATATTGAAACAATTTCTTTTTTTACTACAGAGATAAAATAGATTTTTTTTTTTTCATTTTTAGTTTTATGCTTAGTATGATTTTAAATCAAGATATGACTTTTATTTAATATAATGAAGTTTAATTTTAGTTTATCTTATACCTATACTTTTGACATTAAATGTCAATTGTATGTTAGATCTTAACATATTAAGCCATTTAATCAATTTTTGTATTACTCTAAATTAAAGATAAATATTTTTTTACAAATGTATCAAGTCGTACCCATATCTTACTATTTTTAGATTTTACCATATCAACGTACTTATATTGTACTACTACCAGTACTCATACCCGTTCTTGTGTTTCATAGGTCTTAAATTATTTCAAGTCAATCTTGAAAAAACTTATTGAACCCAAAATTTTTGACTACTCTATGTGTGTGTGCGCTCTTAATTGTAACTAATTTATTCTCTAAATTAATTTTAATAAAATTGATCGACTAATAGTAATTTCAAAATTAAGTAGTAAAAAAATTTTAAAATTCAATTACTGTCTAAAGAATACTCAACATGATTAATACTTAATTTTTTATTTAAGATTTAAAATTTTTAATTTTGAGGTTAAAAAATTATTAATTAAATGTTAAATATATATATATTTTAATATTTGGAGGGTTAATTGATTTTTAAGGTATAGTTTGAGAGGTAAAATAAATTCTAAATGAAGTTCAATATCACGTCAGTAAATTTTGTTTGATTATAGATGGATTGTGATAGCGGAGATTAAATTTATTAAAATTTTAAAAATTTAGAAGACAAATTGATATTATGCAAAGTTTATGATCAAATTAAAAATAAATGTATGCAAATTTAGAGAGGTAAAATGATATTTTATTCTAAGATACATTCAAAGGTCAAAGTTCAAAGATTGGCTTTGTACTCTTCCTGTCCCTTCCTGACTTTCTTCAAAAAAATTTTTTTTGCTCTATGGAGCTCCTCTACCATGGGCTAGTAAGCTACTATTTGGCTGGCACACCCACCATCCACTCGGCTCCGTTTGTTTCCAGAGATGGAACGAAGGGGATTGATAGTGAGGGGATTAATAGTGAAGGGATTGTTAGTGAGGATCATTTGTTTTCAGAGATAGAATGGAGGGAATTGATGGTGAGGGGATTAATAATGAGGGGATTGTTAGTGAGGGGATTGATAGTGAGGGGATTAGTAGTGAGGAATTGTTAAATTATTTTTATATAAAATAATAAAACAAATAAAAAAAATATAAAAAATTAAAAATTATATTTTAAAAAAAATTTCCAATATATAAAAAATAAAAAAAATAAAAAAATTTCTAATCCACTCACTATTTTTCTAATACCATCTCTACCTCCTCACTATGAATCCCCTCCCCAAGGGTATTAGTAATACCAAGGTATTAGTAGTACCCTCCCTATCTCTCAAAACAAACAAGGTATTAGTAATATCAAGGTATTAGTTAGTCCCAAGGTATTAATAGTCCCAAGGCTATCTCTCAAAACAAACACCCCATATACTAATCCCAAGGTACTAGTAATCCTAATCCCCTTGCTATAACCCAAAACAAACGCGGTCTTGACATCTTGTATTACCATCGCACCCACCAGTAGCAGTTCACGGTTCCGTTAGGTCTCAGATTAAGGTCAAGTTTGGCATCCTATAAATAATTTATCTTTTTATCTTTTTTTCATCACATCACTTTTTTATTTTTCTGCACATCTTTTCATAAAAAGATAAAAAGTACACTTATTTAGATCATCCCAAACAACCCCTAAATATTAAAGTGAAATTTTGTTTTATTAATTTTTTAAATATTAAAATGGAACTTTATTTATTAATTTTAATAAAATTTGAAACTTTTAATAATAAGAATTTTTTAAAAAAAATTAAAAGTCTTAAATAATGTACAAGTGACTTAATAATTGAGTCACCTTGTGACCCATTCCTCTGTTAGAAATGGTTTTGGAAAAATTAAATTTTTCCAAAAATTTAGTCTAATTTTTAGGTGGGACCCATGTGTCAAAGTTAACGAGTCTAAGTGGTAACACATTCTATATCGCGTTGTGATTCACGTAACCATTATCGAGTGAATGAAAAATTGAAGTCAAAGTGAGCTTCATGAAAATGGTGTTTTGATGAAATTTCCATAAAGGTTTGAGTTAAAGATTGTCCTACATTGTTTTGGGGAGCAGACTTTGAGTAGGTTTATAAGGCTGGGGTTTGAAACTTGGGGTAGGTTCCAATGGGTACTCAAGTTTTGTAGAGGGGGGGGGAGGTTATTGGTAAAGTGGGATAGATCCGTTGGACCCAAAACAAACACGCGCGCTGTCGTCCATCCGGGCAGGCTGGGATTGGACGCGATTGTGAGATTGGGTTGAGCTTGTACGACACAATTCTAATTCTTTTTTGGCCAAAAACATTTGAATTTATTTTTTAATTTTGAAAAATAAATTTTGACCGTTTGAATTCAGTGTTGGCTTGCACCTTTCTGTACAGATTTTATGTCCGTCTGAACAGATTCAGTTCAAAACCCCTACCCGTTTAATTTAAATTCAAACAAATTTGTATCTGTTTAATTTAAACCGAACAAGTCTTGTATCAGTTTAAGCAGGTCTGCTACCTGTTGGATTCAAACCTAACAACCACTATTTCATCTATAAATAGGCAGTTCCTCAGAACATGTTCGCCTTGCATTTAATGAATGGCAAGTGGCTTTCAGTCAGCTTCCAGTGAATAAAGAAATCTCTATGTCAAAATGTCTTATTCATTTTGCCATTCGCTTTGGAAAGCCATGGATCTGGAAATGGGATTTCAAATGTGACTTCCAGAACAAGGTCCCCAGATTAAAACGTGTTTTCCTGTATAAATGGTGGAATAAAATGGATGATCCAAAACCTAAGCAGGAATTACTCCAGAAAATTAAAGAGCATACTCAAGCTTGCTGGGATGCCTCCCCTAAGTCCATCCCAGCTCCTCCTGTCAACCCATTTATCCAAATACAGCAAGAGCTCAGAAACCAGTTTCCAGACTTATCAGAAACTGAACTTGTTATTAAAAGCATGGATTATATGAAACAACAATTTATCCAATCCATTGCTAGCAAAGACTCCAGTATGAAATCTACATCCAGTACCCAGAGTGAAGATGATCGAACTATAGCAGACCCATATGAGGAAGAAAATACCTTTACTGTCCTTACGGGTGAATCTCAAGATCCGGATAATGATCCGACCGAACCAAGTTATGGTGATATTTGGGATTCGGCTACAGAAATGATTGTCGACAAGTTACTTCATGACAAAAGTAAAGGTAAAAGCAAAGCACCATGATTTAGCTCAGCTGTCAGCTTTTGTCTGCCATCAACTTTCCAGCTCCACAACAGGCCAAGCAACTTTCGGTGCTGATAACTACAGAAGACCTATCTTTCCAGCTGTCCTCTTTTGCCGACAATTGAAGATAAGAAGATAAGGATGCCCGACTGCACAACCATCTAGCACACGCCACCTGTCTTCATTATCTTCCTTTTGTAATATAAATAGGTAGCCTCTGGTATGTGGAAGGCACCACGGAATTTTCTTTTCTAAGTTTGAAATCTTTCTCTCTCCCACTTTCTATTTTCAGTGTGTTTCCTTTGTATAAAGTTGGAAGCATTATAATAATCAAGTTTGCTGTTTGTAAGCATTTCTTTCTCTTCTTAATGTATGTCTGTATATCAACTTATCATTTTGAATGATATGTTAGATATCTAGAAAAATAGAAAAATCAATATTGAATATTATATTGCATTCACTGCTAATGATAATTGGGCACATCAACAATTAGACGAGTGTAATAATAAAATCAATCATCTCCAGAATTTGATTAACGAACAAATTTGCCTTTTGGCAAGGGCCAATCGGCCTCTTCCTCCAGGACTTTAGATTCATGGACCATATATGTAATAATTGATCATAAATAAAACAAAACTATTTTTTATGTTATTCCTAGGTTTGTGCCATTGAGAGGTAGCATAGTGTAAGGCTAAGTGGGACGTCACCCAAGTCGTGTAGCTCCAGTATCCATCAAGCGGTTAGCGATAAGGATCGTTTGGTAGCATAAGTCGTTGATAGACGTGCTTAGTTAAACCCTATGGAGCACTGTATTGGTATCAGAGCCATGTTTAATGTATTTAGTAGTTTGTTTTATTTATCA